TTGTGGTCATTCCCCTGGCCCCATACTCCCTTTTGGTTATAACTTAGAAAATTCACAAGCATTCTGGACATGAATGTGGTATTTTGAAAACATGGGTCCGCTTCAGTTTTTTACTGTATCTAAAGATTAAACATTTCCAGTTGTAATTCATTTGGCCCTTACATGCTCTCTACGACCCAGCCCCGGGGAGAATCCACCGTCTTATTATGGGTAATTTGTAGCCTTACGCCATTTTGTTAAGCAGAGTACCATGAAGAACACAAAAAAGAACTGTAGTATGCGTCGCAACCCAGTAGGTAAACCATGCTTCTATAGAGGAACACAGCTGACATTTTTTTTTTTTTTTATTACATTATTGAGTAACAACTTTTCCCGACATTTCTGGGATCAAAGGGTATACCCCAAAAATTTATTGAGGGGACTTTATAGACTTTCCTTACCAATATGTTACAAATATTTTCCTTTTTCCCTTTTTCTTTCTTGTGCCAGAGTAGGCGTCTGTTGTTTCCTAAGCTTTTCTTTGTTATCTGGTAACCATTTGCTGCACAATTCTAGTTTCAGTGATAGTATATAAACTATATATTGTGGGGGCTCTAAAAGATTAAAAAAGCATTGTCACTCATACAAATAAGTTTAACTTACGTTGATGAGATATAAATTTACATAACACAGAAATAGTAAGGGACTCATGATAACTACTACCATGGGGAACTACGTATATTATCGGCAGTGGTTCTGACTATTATTGCTCTGGACAATTTGTTTCGTGTTCCTCACGCAACACTTTAATCAGTCCACAGAGCCTATAATAATAATAATAATAATAATAATAATAATAATAATAATAATAATAATAATAATAATAGTAATAGTAATAATAATAATAATAATAATAATAATAATAATAATAATAATAATAATAATAATATTTCTACGAATACATGTACAAAGTATACAGGACTAGATGACATCAATGACATACTAATATACAGAATGCCCCTTGTTATGCAGAGCATTTCGGTCAAAATACGTCAATCTTGTCCCAGGATGCGACCCACAACAGTCAACTAACATCCAGGTACCTTGGGGTACCCAGGTGTCGTAGGGAAACACGTCCTAATGTTTCCAACTGTACCGGGGATGTGCTAGGGATCGAGCTTGGAGTTTCTTATATAAATGTTGCAAATAATGAATCAAATGCCTTTTGTAAGTCCAGTCACCATACCCAGATATTGCACATGTTTTATTCATCAGTAAAAATACCGAGATGCTCCAGCCGCGTCTTATTCATCAGTAAAAATACCCAGATGCTACACCTGCATCTTATTCATCAGCAAAAATACCCAGATGCTGCACCTGCGTCTTATTCATCAGTAAAAATACCCAGATGCTGCACCTGCGTCTTATTCATCAGTAAAAATACCCAGATGCTGCACCTGCGTCTTATTCATCAGTAAAAAATACCCAGATGCTGCACCTGCGTCTTATTCATCAGTAAAAATACCCAGATGCTGCACCTGCGTCTTATTCATCAGTATTATTATTATTATAATCAAAAAGAAGCGCTAAGCCACAAGGGCTATACAGCGTATTCATCAGTAAAAATACCCAGATGCTGCACCTGCGTCTTATTCATCAGTAAAAAATACCCAGATGCTGCACCTGCGTCTTATTCATCAGTAAAAATACCCAGATGCTGCACCTGCGTCTTATTCATCAGTAAAAAATACCCAGATGCTGCACCTGCGTCTTATTCATCAGTAAAAAATACCCAGATGCTGCACTGCGTCTTATTTATCAGTAAAAATACCCAGATGCTGCACCTGCGTCTTATTCATCAGTAAAAAATACCCAGATGCTGCACCTGCGTCTTATTCATCAGTAAAAATACCCAGATACTGCAGGTGCGTCTTATCATACCTGTGAGATGGCTGCCGTGAATCACTCTGGCACAGTAATGGTGACGGTTACAATAACTATGAGGACTGACAACTCGTAACCCAAAGAAATCTAACTCATCAAGTAGTTAATGAGCAATGATGATCACACTTACACTGTACTTGTAGTGTACTTCGTCTTGTCCAACACAGTTGCGAGTTATGACGTGAAGGTCTACTTACACGCGCTGCTCAGGAGACATCATCTTGGTGTTGATATTACTGGAACTGTAATAATGTTGGTACAATTACCGACAATATGTTAGGTAAAAGGACACATATGCAACTTTTGTGACATTTTTATTGTGGCGACGTTTCGCCACAATAAAAAATGTCGATTAGTGTCATTTTACGTAACATTATTGGAACTGTTTACTTCATGAGGCCAGCGGGTCACGTGACTGAATACTAGCTGCTGATTGGCTGACTCACTTCAACCTTAATATTTAACCAGAAACATTCATTCTCCCGTAAAAATAATTCTGTGGCTAATATCTCCCTCCCTCAAAAAATACCTAAGAAATATCTATTTTTGTCAGGCTATGGACATACTACTTCTAATACAAAGATGGAAATAAAAGGCGAGTTCGGTGGAGTACCTATAGTCAATATTAACATATTTTGTTTAAAGTGGCCAGAGTAGAATTTCTTTTACGTAATGTTGCATTTTACTACACCAAAAAAATATTACCCAGTAAAATCCATTATCTGATGACTTAATTATGTATGCACAATGAACACCGGTGGCCTGGTGGCTAGAGCTCCCGCTTCACACACGGAGGGCCCGGGTTCGATTCCCGGCGGGTCGAAACATTTCAACACGTTTCCTTGCACCTGTTGTCCTGTTCACCTAGCAACAAACAGGTACCTGGGTGTTAGTCGACTGGCGTGGGTGGCATCCTGGGGGACAAGATTGAGGACCCCAATGGAAATAAGTTAGACAGTCCTCGATGACGCACTGACTTTCTTGGGTTATCCTGGGTGGCTAACCCTCCGGGGTTAAAAATCCGAACGAAACCTTATCTTAACCCATAGTTTGGGCGGACCCACATGATGGGTCCAGGAACTGTACTTCAACATGTTCAGTCGAACATTAAAGTGGAAGAAGCGTTCCCAATATTTTTTTTTCTGATACCTCTGTCATTTTTTCACCATATCTATATCCGACATAGACAAGGATGTCAGCCACAGCACCGTGTCTTCCTTTGCAGATGACACCCGAATCTGCATGACAGTGTCTTCCATTGTAGACACTGCAAGGCTCCAGGCGGACATCAACCAAATCTTTCAGTGGGCTGCAGAAAACAATATGAAGTTCAACGATGAGAAATTTCAATTACTCAGATATGGTAAAAATGAGGAAATTAAATCTTCATCAGAGTACAAAACAAATTCTGGCCACAAAATAGAGCGAAACACCAACGTCAAAGACCTGGGAGTGATCATGTCGGAGGATCTCACCTTCAAGGACCATAACATTGTATCAATCGCATCTGCTAGAAAAATGACAGGATGGATAATGAGAACCTTCAAAACTAGGGAGGCCAAGCCCATGATGACACTCTTCAGGTCACTTGTTCTATCTAGGCTGGAATATTGCTGCACACTAACAGCACCTTTCAAGGCAGGTGAAATTGCCGACCTAGAAAATGTACAGAGAACTTTCACGGCGCGCATAACGGAGATAAAACACCTCAATTATTGGGAGCGCTTGAGGTTCCTAAACCTGTATTCCTGGAACGCAGGAGGGAAAGATACATGATTATATACACCTGGAAATCTAGAGGGACTAGTACCGAACTTGCACACGAAAATCACTCACTACGAAGGCAAAAGACTTGGCAGACGATGCACCATCCCCCCAATGAAAAGCAGGGGTGTCACTAGCACGTTAAGAGACCATACAATAAGTGTCAGGGGCCCGAGACTGTTCAACTGCCTCCCAGCACACATAAGGGGGATTACCAACAGACCCCTGGCAGTCTTCAAGCTGGCACTGGACAAGCACCTAAAGTCAGTTCCGGATCAGCCGGGCTGTGGCTCGTACGTTGGTTTGCGTGCAGCCAGCAGCAACAGCCTGGTTGATCAGGCTCTGATCCACCAGGAGGCCTGGTCTCAGACCGGGCCGCGGGGGCGTTGACCCCCGGAACTCTCTCCAGGTAAACTCCAGGTAATATTTTAGCTACACTTTTCATATAAATAACAGAATCGACGTTACATTGTGTAGAAACCCTGCATTATTTCCAACTAGATCTCTAAACTGCATCTTAGGGGAAAACTTAAGCAAAAATCTTTATATAGCAGGTTATTTGAATCCTAATAATAGACGTGATCTGCTTCAGGGTCGTGGCTCAGTGGTAGCGCACTCGGCAAACAACTTGAGAGAACCCGGGGTTCAATTCCCTGGCAGGGAAAGACGTATGGGTGTTGACCTGGTACTAAGTAGGTGCCTGGATGATGGCCGGCTCTAGTGGGTGGCATCCTGGGGAAGGGGATCAAAAGAATCCCCAGAGGAAATAAGCCGAATATAGTGGCTTTACTGGGTTATCTTTTATCTTCTTCTTCAGCTGCGTCTACTTAGTTAAGAATTAAAACGATGTTGGATTTCTTTTTTTATATATATGAAGCGCTAAACCCGTGTGGGAAGGGGGTACCGGGGTTCATTCAGTTCAAGAAGTGTTGTGTGTAGTCTTGATCCTCCGTCTATTATGGTGGCTCCGGTCTCTGAACAACCAGGCTGTTGGTGTAAGTACCAGGAAGCGAGCAACTTTCCCCGGTCTTCTGGGAAAGTCTCTCTTCAGTCCCTCAACACCAAGAACTACACGATTTCTTGAAAGTTATTTCTTTGGAATATTATTATTATTGCTATCATCATTATTACCATTATTTATGTATTCGAAGACAAGCTCTGACCCTGCATGTATATTCATGATAATAACAAATAATAATAATAATAATAATAATAATAATAATAATAATAATAATAATAATAATAATAATAATAATAATAATAATAATAATAATAATAATAATAATAAATTCATTTTAAGTCTGTCCGTAATGCTGTGCATAACCAGGGACTTTCTATAAGGTATGCTTGTAATGTCAACCATTCCTGAATCAACAGTAAATTGTACTTCTTAGGAATTAAGTTTTTCATTTATCCTCGTTGGTTTTTCGACGATAATGTGAGCCTCGGGCCGACCAGTGACCAGCAAGTTGCAAGTATCCTGAATTCAGAACGTAGCAGATACCTTTTTTTACGACCACCCCCGCCCTTTCTCTCTCTCTCTCTCTAATGCTCACTACCGTTTATTATCTTTACTTCCATGGGTAATTGCAGTCAGATGCTCAGTGAGAGATATAGAGCGCGAGGAAGCTTGTCTGACCTCCTCAAAGGGGGATGGGATGTCGCGCCAGATGCACGATACTGGCGGCGCTCTGTAGCGTGACAACGTATCTCCAGCGGCAATGGACTTATAATACCGTTATCCCAGCCACCGCTACACCTTCATGGCTGCGAGCTTCACTATCCCAGCCTCCGCTACACCATCTCTCAACCCCGCTACGCTCTCGCACACACACATACACTCCCTCCTCCCTCATTTTGCATCGCGGCTCCATGAGTTCGGTTTCCTTCCAACGTGTCGGTCTTACTCTTGAAATTCAGTGTAACTAATCTGATACGTTTTCAGATTGTGGATGTGGTCAGGATATTCTGCAGACCGCCTTGCGTTGCAAAATATAGCCATACATTTCGTATTGAACAAAAATTTGCTTGGAAACTCGAAAAGGTAATGTGAAATGTATTTTCGTGTTTACTCAATCTCCTTAAAGCTGTGGTAGACTCTGGAAACTTCCGTGAAGTACACAAACAAGTTGTTGTGGATTTTTTTTTTTTTTTTGTTAATCAGTGCCATTCTGAACTTCATCTATAAATATCCCAGTTGTATAAACGGTGAAAAACATGGAAAACAAACTGTTGGTGAAGACTGGAGGTCCACTACGGTGGTTCAGACGTGATTTGGTGATGATGGTCATCCTCTCCCTCGTCCCTACAACCTCCGCCACCTCCTCCTACAGTGTCGTCTCTACCCAGAATGACCCACGTCACCTGCCCATTTCCAACGTTATGTCGGTGGATGAAAATTCTTTATTAGATCTCAAACAGGACTGGGACCAATCTCAAAACTTCCAGGAAGATGACTACCTCCTACAGGAAGACAAGTATCCTTCTCGAGACTCCCAGGAAGGAGACAGCCTGGTGCAGGGGGATGAATATCCTTCTCAAGACCCCCGGGAAAGCGAATACTTCCCTCAGGATGAGGAGGATCCCTCTCAGGTCCTTCAGAAAGGAAACTACGTCATGAAGAATGATGAACATTCTCAGGACTCCCAAGAAGAGAAGGCCCTCTCTCAGGGCCCTCAGGACGAAGATTTCTTCAGGCAGGATGACGAAGACTTCCATCTGGCAGCCATAATCTGGCCGGAAGAAGAGTACCCTACCAGCGACTTCGAAGAGGCACTTCGAGCCACGTTTACCTCAAAAGACGACAACGAAGCGCCCTTCGAGAAGCTAGTGGGATTCCAACCTTCCAGTGACCTCGAAGACATTCTTCTAGACTTGATCACTTCGGGAGATGCAGACGAGGCGTCTTCTGAGAGCCTAGAAGGAGACTTGGAAGCCACAGCTGCACCAGCAGACACCACCAACACGCAGCAACTGCTCAAGGAAGATACAATTTTGCAGTCAATAAGAAGCAAAGTGCTTTATTACCTAGGTGAGTCTCCGCTATGATAATAATAATAACGATGATGATAATTAGTTATCAATAATGATAATAAAATTTGAGATTATGACTAACTATATTGGCACCATAAATTTTTAATAATAATTTCGTAATTCTCTATTAAATAATATGTGCATATGTCGTGTCGAATAGGTAAAATTGGTCAATTAGCAAGAACTCATTTAAAATTGTCCTTTCTAAAATTTTCTCTTCTACGTTTAAAGATATTTTTTATTTAAATTAATGTAAATATTAATAATTTTGTACCAAAAGAACCTTAGAAAACTTACCTAGCCTTATTATAACAAGCGCAATTTAATTTAGCCTAATCCAACTAAATATATATTAGATAAGTTTACAATAATTTAATAAAAGATAAACACAATGAAATATATTTTTTTCATTAGGTTCAGAATGATTTTTGCGAAATTATTGCATACACAAATTTTCGCTTGCCTCATTCAGCAAGAAGATCGTTGTTATTTAAGCCAAAATCGCAAGTTTTGCCTATTGGGCACGAGACACACACACACACACACACACACACACACACACACAGCCACAGAAGTCATAAGTGATAGTTGGAAGCGATGTAGAGGCAGACCACATACTTTAAGCAGAGCTATGAAAAGCTCACGCCGGAGAGTGACCTAGTAGCGATCAGTGAAGAGGCGGGCAGAGCTCGACTCGACCCCCACTCAACTAGTGAGTACAATAGTGAGTACCACACACACAACACACACACACAACACACAACACACACACACACACACACAACACACACACACACACACACACACTATATATATATATATATATATATATATTATATATATATATATAATATAATAACAATATATATATATAATATATGTATGTTATTATATAGCAAGACAAGCCATACACGAAATTATACACACCTCTCTGCACCTGTATGTGTATATATATACGAAGATAAATACACCTGTGTATATATACTCATTTATACACCTCTGTACATACTACAAAGATATACGAGTATACATACCTCTGTCGTGTATACACAATGACTCATGCAGGAAGGCATGCCATTGTTTGCTTAACATACTTAAACTGTCAAGATCATTAACCCCATCCTCTGGACTCTGGTGAAGGTGGGTGATAATGGTACTACTTCGATAGAACGTTAAAATCACACTCATTCCCAACCCATATCATCCCTCCATCTCTTGTGTATGGGATAAGCTACGTTGAGAGATGGTCATTACCAGGGAACGTTAAGTCAGGATCTGCTGGAGCGACATCTTTGAAGCTGCTGTGTAAGCTAATGAATCTTTATTAGCAGATTACTGGATGGTATCCTCATTTCTCTACTGAAGCCTCCCAGCTTAGACTGACACCATTGAAGCCTCACAGCTCAGACTGACACCACTAAAGCCTCACGGCTCAGACTGACACCACTGAAGCCTCCCAGCTCAGACTGACACCACTGAAATCTCCCAGCTCTGGAAGACACTACTGAAGTCTAATCTCCCAGCTCAGGCTGAACCTACTGAAATCTCCCAGCTCAAGCCGACACATTTCATCCCTTGATGCATAAAATTCATTGTGTGTGATGGAATATGACGCTGAAACATAGAGAGGTTTAGTTCCCACTATGTAACTATCATAAACGTTAGGTTAGTGGTCACGAGAGGTCACGCTACCTGTCCTGTGACTGTCACCTGGGGAATTAAAGACTAAAGGTTCCTTATTTCAGTGCTTTCCTATATCCTTTCTAAATCTAAACTTATCTAATTTGAATCCATTATCGCGGGTTCTCTCTTGGAGAGATATCCTCAAGACCTTACAATGTATGTACCGAGTTAGGTTACATTTGGGTGTGCATGCAGAAAGCCCCTAGTATGCAGAACATTTCGGTCGTGTTACAGTATCACCATCACTCGCTTCTGTAGTGTTTCAGAATCAGGGTTTGTGATGATGAAGGGGGAATATATACTGTCACCAACTCACCCTCTGTCTCGCCTGTACAGAAGATACAGTAGTAATAGTATAACCAGAGCTTTGGTAAGTTGGGGGATCAAGAAGGATAGGTAAGGATATCAGGAGTCTCGATTCTTCCCTGTGAGAAATGAATCAGTTTCCTTTCTGTGTTAAAAAAACCGTGATAGAACTTTCCACAACTAAGCCATCGCGCTACTATATAATAAGACAAGTCAATGAACTTAGAATCAGTTTCTTTCAGAGAATCACAAAACTGGTGATGATTAAGCCCGTGAGATCGAATGAAATACTCTGTTGAAACAACAGGTTTGAGAAAGGAAGACATATCCACATACTTTCCGCACAATGCTTGCTGATGGATAACACAATACAGAAATATAGGCTTCGAGTATGAACCATCCTCACAAGCTTTCGTGATTTGTCCAACCGTACCTTTCTTCACCCCAGACATGTTCTTTCCTCAGTTAATTGTCACTCATTGCAGTTTATTCCACTCCAGATTATATTCTAATAAATTTTTTTGCAATTCTTTGAAGATGTCTTTTCTGGTTCTTTACTGTGCATGCTATGCACTGACATTGTCGATGCCATGGATGAATATTATGAGTTGTGATGTGTCACATTATTCGATTCATCGAGTGCTAGAGAATAAAACTGAAAGTTTTCGGCTTTGTCTGCAGTTTGATGCATTATATTGCTATTCTGTACAAGAATGGTATGCAATACCGACAAGATGATATTTAGACACATATGTGTCTAAATATCATCATTGCTTCCTCCATCCTCAGTTCTACAAGTAACAATATTTGGCGCAAAACTGAGGATTTTGAACAGATTTGTTTTTTCTGGGCATAACTCTCCCACTGCTTCAACTCTTTGATCAGATCTTCTCTTTTAACTAACACATAAAGCTACTTTGTAACTGCCTCGGGTTAAAGTTACATTTTCAGCTCTCTTCTGCGTAAGAAAAAACTTGCTGGGAAAGCAATCTGTGTTGCAATGATTCAGTTTTTTTTTCCGAACGCTGTGTTCCAGTGGACTGGGAATAACTCGGTTATGTTTGGTCTCACAGTGTCGACGTATATTGTACTTCTTCAGAACTACAACAGTTTCGTGTATACGACACACAAGCCTTCATCACCTGCTTGTACAAAGAAGTACTTTACGCTCCATTCTTCATTAAACAGCGGCACTCACTCTGCACTGTTATTTTCCTTTTACCTCCATAACTTAGGGTTTATCTGAAAAATGAAAGATTAGAACTAAAATTTGAACACATTTTTACATATAAATTGTTATAAGCAACAAAATCCTTAATTTTAAGTGACTGAAGTGATTGAAAATGAGAGTTTATTAGTTTTACTATTTATAAATGTTTCAAGTTGCTGTGGGTCGCATAAAATCTTGTGGAAGAGCGCAGTCTGGAGACCCCTGGCGTATGATGGTGTGTGTTGTTGTGTCAAGCATTGTAAAGATGACTGTGAAGACTGTACCACCCGGCAGACACACGTGTATACAGGATACATACCTCCATGATACTGAATCAGTGGTAGGCGCATTTTATTACCTGGAGTTTACCTGGAGAGAGTTCCGGGGGTCAACGCCCCCGCGGCCCGGTCTGTGACCAGGCCTCATGGTGGACCAGAGCCTGATCAACCAGGCTGTTACTGCTGGAGGCACGCAATCCAACGTACGAGCCACGAAAGCAAAAGACTCGGCAGACGATGCAACATCCCCCCAATGAAAAGCAGGGGTGTCACTAGCACGTTAAGAGACAATACAATAAGTGTCAGGGGCCCGAGATTGTTCAACTGCCTCCCAGCATACATAAGGGGGATTACCAACAGACCCCTGGCTGTCTTCAAGCAGGCACTGGACAAGCACCTAAAGTCGGTACCTGACCAGCCGGGCTGTGGCTCGTACGTTGGATTGCGTGCAGCCAGCAGTAACGGCCTGGTTGATCAGGCTCTGATCCACCAGGAGGCCTGGTCACAGACCGGGCCGAGGGGGGCGTTGACCCCCGAAACTCTCTCCAGATAAACTCCAGGTAACAGCCCGGCTGGTCAGGTACCGACTTGAGGTGCTTGTCCAGTAGCTGATTGAAGACAGCCAGGGGTCTATTGATAATCCCCCTTATGTATGCTGGGAGGCAGTTGAACAATCTCGGGCCCCTGACACTTATTGTACTGTCTCTTAACGTGCTAGTGACACCCCTGCTTTCCATTGGGGGGATGTTGCATCGTCTGCCGAGTCTTTTACTTTCGTTGTGAGTGATTTTCGTGTGCAAGTTCGGTACTAGCCCCTCTAGGATTTTCCAGGTGTATATAACCATGTATCTCTCCCGCCTGCGTTCCAGGGAGTACAGGTTCAGGAACTTCAAGCGCTCCCAGTAATTGAGGTGTTTTGTTTTTAAGGGCAGAATGCAAAATATTTGAGCTAGCTGAAAGGCGTCTGCTGGAGCTGGTGGTCAGCTGATCTGATCCTGAGGTGTTGTCTTGCCATAGGTGGTTTTCAGACGCTACTTGGTTAGATGTATGGTATCATCAATAAGGATGGTATTATCTGTCTTAAACATAGATTGGCTCTGGTGGTACCCATTCTTCTATATCTTCAGGGAGACCATTCATAATCTTTGGTCTAAAAATCTATAACGCCATCCTGGTCTCTGGACACCTCTTACTGAAAAGCAGTTTGGTTTTAGGACCCACAGAGGAACCCAACACACCATCAATATCAGTGCCGTTGACAACCTGTGTAAACAATGCAACCTTGCCCTGACTGTGACTCGGGATGTACACAAAGCATTTGACAGCCTATGACACGACGCCCTTATATTTAAACTTGCTGACTTTTCTTAGATTGATACAAAACTTCTTAACAAGTAGAAGCATCATCCCTACCTTCAACTGTCAGAAGGCAGTCATTCACACCAACAGCTGGAGTGCCACAAGGATCATGCTTGAGTCCCATTCTCTTCATTATATAAATCACCTTCCCCAACCTGACCTCATTAACTATCATACATAATAATCATACAGAATGTAATTGTCACATTGAATGTAACTGCCATACAGAATAAGGCTGCAGTACGCCGGAAATATGCCCTATTTTTGTCCACAAAGCCCTATAGAGCCCTTATAGTGGGAGTGACGTGATGCTAATAAAGGGCTCATCGTCCTAGAAAATTGAACTGCACCTCTTCTTCCTCGGATTAAACCTAATTCTCTTCGAACATAATAACAACAAAACAATAACGACAATAATAATAATTATTATTATTATTTCCAGAGCGCGAGGGACAGCACTTAGGTAGAGAGTACAACAACATGAACCTGCCTTCCGTAGAGGTGGCCCTACTCTCCCTCGCCTTCCTCACTTTCGTTGTATTCATCGTTGACCTGGTCCAGGTACGTACTGATGAACCCTCGTCCATAATTGAACAACGCACGGAGAGGCCTTCGAAGTACGTGTTATTTATTTTTTATGTACATTTTCCATCGCATTTACAGGGAAAACTTACATTATATAAGAGAAGCTCCATAAGAGAGAAAACTGTGATATATGTATATATATATATATAAATTATTTGTATTACCCTCCCTCCCCAGGACCTGCTGACTGGCAGCAGCAGCAGCGGGCGCAAGCGTGCTGCTGACGACGCTGACGACAGCTTGGCTGATCTGATTGTGCTGACGCTGTCGTCGCTTGACACCGTCTCCTACGGCAGGGAACACCCGGACTGTGGCAGGAAGCTGCTGTGTCACCTCAACCGCTCTGGCTGGCACAGTGGAGTCCTCGGAACCGCCTCCAACTACTTCGTCAGGTGTGTGTTCTGGAGTTTTTTTGTGGAGTCACCCAGGGGAGAGATAAAAAGGTGGGAGAGACATGATATGAGAGGTATGAGAGAAAAGGAGAAGTGAGGGAAACATGGAGAGGCAAGAGAAAGGGCTCGATACGGCGTACACTGTCAGTGGCCCTATAAACCCCAGCAGAAGAAGAGACGTAAACAGGTGATAAATGAGGACAGTTTAAGATAGCTGAGTAGAGAGATTGATGTTGATGTTATACCATTTTAATGTTCAGAGATGTTGATAAATGGTTTAGAGAACCGATAAGTTCATAAATTAGACACATGTGCAAAGCTTTGGTATTTCTACTATGGGAACGTTTCGCCACACAGCGGCTTCCTCAGTCCAATACAGAGAAGAATGGCTGAAGATCGGGAGTTTGAGGTAATCAGTCCCTCAGCCTGGAGACTCCAGGCTGAGGGACCGATTAAATCAAACTCCTTCCGATCTTCACCATTCTTCTGTGTATCGGACTGAGGAAGCCACTTTGTAGCGAAACGTCTCCACACTGAAGATACCCAAGTGTTGCATACATAGCTGATTATCAATATAGAGATGTATGATCCATTTTTCCCCATAAAGATATGTGCAGATCCACCCACTCCCCATCACGTATTGACTCATCCCTCCCCCCTTCCCCGTGGACACGTCCCGGCTGACCCCGTGCTCTGCTCCCCAGCCTGGTGTTGACAGTGTTCTCGCCAGCCTCAGACTTCCAAAGGTACGTGGACGCCGCCGACTATGGTCGCCAGAACGACGAGTGTGCTGACCGCTATTCTTCCTGCCCGTCCGTCCTGGGTGACCTGCTGCCCTCTACCCCGTGATCTGCTGCCCTCTACCCTGTGATCTGCTGCCCTCTACCTCGTGACCTGCTGCCCTCTACCCCGTGATCTGCTGCCCTCTACCCTGTGATCTGCTGCCCTCTACCCTGTGATCTGCTGCCCTCTACCCCGTGATCTGCTGCCCTCTACCCTGTGATCTGCTGCCCTCTACCTCGTGATCTGCTGCCCTCTATCCTGTGATCTGCTGCCCTCTACCCCGTGATCTGCTGCCCTCTACCCTGTGATCTGCTGCCCTCTACCTCGTGATCTGCTGCCCTCTACCCCGTGATCTGCTGTCCCCCTGACCACCACTCCTGCCCGTCCGTCCTGGGTGACCTGCTGCATTCCACCCCGTGACCTGACCCTTCTGACCACTACTCATCCTTCCCCTTCATCCATGCAGCAACAGAGGTTGACACTCTCACTAAAACGGTAGTCGTTCTCACTACAAGAACGGCAGTCATTCTCACTACAAGAACAGCAGTCGTTCTCACTACAAGAACGGCAGTCATTCTCACTACAAGAACGGCAGTCGTTCTCAATACATCAACACCTAAGCGATATGACTAGACTAACCATTACACTAGTCATGCATTTAACTAAACTAACTTCGAATGACTGATGGTTAGGTATGCTTGTTATTGACGTGTGTGACTCGCCTAGTTGTGATTGCAGGGGTCGAGTTACAGCTCTTGGCCCCGTGTGTGTGTGCTTTGTAATGTTTATACTAAGTACGTGAAGATATTTACTTGCGTACGTTGATGTACATATATATTTTAACATATTTATAAGTAGTGTAATTATGTTTGCGTGTGTGTGTTGATCTCACCAACTAACAGCATCCTTGATGCACAGTGTAACTCTGTAATACACACTAAATGTAAGGCCTTAGTACACGCCTGGTGTAATACCACACAGGGTATTCATGAGTCACCTAGTGTGATCCCTCAGTGTAATCCTTCACTACCGCCTAGTGTGATCCCTCAGTGTATCCTTCAGTACCGCCTAGTGTAATTCCTCAGTACCGCCTAGCGTCATCCATCTCTACCGCCTAGTGTGATCCCTCAGTATAATGCCTCAGTAACGCCTAGTGTGATCCCTCAGTATAATGCCTCAGTAACACCTAGTGTGATCCCTCAGTATAATGCCTTAGTAACGCCTAGTGTGATCCCTCAGTATAATGCCTCAGTAACACCTAGTGTGATCCCTCAGTATAATGCCTTAGTAACGCCTAGTGTGATCCCTCAGTATAATGCCTCAGTAACGCCTAGTGTGATCCCTCAGTATAATGCCTTAGTAACCACCTAGTGTGATCCCTCGTATAATGCCTTAGTAACGCCTAGTAGTGATCCTCAGTTAATGCCTTAGTAAACGCCTAGTGTATCCCTCAGCATAAATGCCTCAGGTAACACCTAGTGTGGACCCTCAGTAATATGATGCCTTTAGTAACGCCTAGTGTGATCCCTCGTATAATGCCTTAGTAAAGCCTAGTGTGATCCCTCCCGTATAATGCTACAGTAACGCCTTAGGTGTTTTATCCTCTACCGTATAATTCCTTACGTAACACCCTAGTGTGTATCCTCAGTATAAGTGCCTTAGTATACGCCTAGTGTGATCCCTCATTTGAATGCCTCAGTAACGCCTAGGTGGATCCCTCGATATAAGTGCCTTAGTAACGCCTAGTGGATCCCTCAGTATAATCTGCCTCAGTAATCACTGTGTGATCCCTCAGTTAATGCGTTAGTAACGCTAGTGTGATTCCTCTTTATAATGCATCAGTGAAAACTAGTGTGATCCCTCAGTATAATGCCTTAGTTAAAGCTAGTGTGATCCCTCAGTATTAAATGCACTCGTAACGCCTAGTGTGATCCCTCTGTATAATGCCTTAGTACACACCTAGTGTGATCCCTCAGTATAATGCCTTAGTAACGCCTAGTGTGATCCTCAGTTAATGCCTTAGCAGTAACGCCTAGTGTGATCCCTCAGCATAATGCTCAGTAACCCCTAGTGTGATCCCTCAGTATAATGCCTTAGTAACGCCTAGTGTAAATCCCTCAGTATAATGCCTTAGTAACGCCTAGTGTGATCCCTCAGTATAATCCTCAGTAACGCCTAGTGTGATCCCTCAGTATAATGCCTTAGTAACACCTAGTGTGATCCCTCAGTATAATGCCTTAGTAAACGCCTAGTGTGATCCCCAGTATAATGCCTCAGTAACGCCTAGTGTGATCCCTCAGTAAAAATGCCTTAGTAACGCCTAGTGTGATCCCTCAGTATAATGCCTCAGTAACCCCTAGTGTGATCCCTCAGTATAATGCCTTAGTAACGCCTAGTGTGATCCCCAGTATAATGCCTCAGAAAACGCCTAGTGTGATCCCTCAGTATAATCCCTTAGTAACGCCTAGTGTGATCCCTCAGTATAATGCCTCAGTAACGCCTAGTGTGATCCCTCAGTATAAATGCCTTAGTAACGCCTAGTGTGATCCCTCAGTATAAGCCTCAGTAACGCCTAGTGTGATTCCTCAGAATAATGCCTTAGTAACGCCTAGTGTGACCCCTCAGTATAATGCCTCAGTAACCCCTATGTGATCCCTCAGTATAATGCCTTAGTAACGCCTAGTGTGATCCTCAGTATAATGCCTCAGTAACGCCTAGTGTGATCCCTCAGTATAATGCCTTAGTAACGCCTAGTGTGATCCCTCAGTATAATGCCTCAGTAACGCCTAGTGTGATCCCTCAGTATAATGCCTTAGTAACGCCTAGTGTGATCCCTCAGTATAATGCCTCAGTAACGCCTAGTGTGATCCCTCAGTATAATGCCTTAGTAACGCCTAGTGTGATCCCTCAGTATAATGCCTAGAAAACGCCTAGTGTGATCCCTCAGTAAAATGCCTTAGTAACGCCTAGTGGATCCCTCAGTATAATGCCTTAGTAACGCCTAGTGTGATCCTCAGTATAATGCCTTAGTAACGCCTAGTGTGATCACTCAGTATAATGCCTCAGTAACACCTAGTGTGATCCCTCAGTATAATGCCTTAGTAACGCCTAGTGTGATCCCTCAGTATAATCCCTCAGTAACACCTAGTGTATCCCTCAGTATAATGCCTCAGTAACGCCTAGTGTGATCCCTCAGTATAATGCCTTAGTAACCCCTAGTGTGATCCCTCAGTAAAATGCCTCAGTAACACCTAGTGTGATCCCTCATATAATGCCTTAGTAACACCTAGTGTGATCCCTCAGTATAATGCCTCAGTAACACCTAGTGTGATCCCTCAGAAATAATGCCTCAGTAACACCTAGTGTGATCCCTCAGAAATAATGCCTCAATAACACCTAGTGTGATCCTCAGTATAATGCCTCAGTAACGCCTAGTGTGTCCTCAGTATAATCCCTCAGTAACACCTAGTGTGATCCCTCAGTATAATGCCTCAGTAACGCCTAGTGTGATCCCTCAGTATAATGCCTCAGTAACACCTAGTGTGATCCCTCAGTATAATGCCTTAGTAACACCTAGTGTGATCCTCAGTATAATGCCTTAGTAACGCCTAGTGTGATCCCTCAGTATAATGCCTTAGTAACGCCTAGTGTGATCCCTCAGTATAATGCCTCAGTAACACCTAGTGTGATCCCTCAGTATAATGCCTCAGTAACACCTAGTGTGATCCCTCAGTATAATGCCTTAGTAACGCCTAGTGTGATCCCTCAGTATAATGCCTCAGTAACACCTAGTGTGATCCCTCAGTATAATGCCTTAGTAACGCCTAGTGTGATCCCTCAGTATAATGCCTCAGTAACACCTAGTGTGATCCCTCAGTATAATGCCTCAGTAACGCCTAGTGTGATCCCTCAGTATAATGCCTCAGTAAACGCCTAGTGTGATCCCTCAGTATAATGCCTCAGTAACACCTAGTGTGATCCCTCAGTATAATGCCTCAGTAACACCTAGTGTGATCCCTCAGTATAATGCCTCAGTAACGCCTAGTGTGATCCCTCAGTATAATGCCTCAGTAACACCTAGTGTGATCCCTCAGTATAATGCCTCAGTAACACCTAGTGTGATCCCTCAGTATAATGCCTCAGTAACGCCTAGTGTGATCCTCAGTATAATGCCTCAGTAACACCTAGTGTGATCCCTCAGTATAATGCCTCAGTAACGCCTAGTGTGATCCTCAGTATAATGCCTCAGTAACACCTAGTGTGATCCCTCAGTATAATGCCTCAGTAACGCCTAGTGTGATCCCTCAGTATAATGCCTCAGTAACACCTAGTGTGATCCCTCAGTATAATGCCTTAGTAACACCTAGTGTGATCCTCAGTATAATGCCTTAGTAACGCCTAGTGTGATCCCTCAGTATAATGCCTTAGTAACGCCTAGTGTGATCCCTCAGTATAATGCCTCAGTAACACCTAGTGTGATCCCTCAGTATAATGCCTCAGTAACACCTAGTGTGATCCCTCAGTATAATGCCTTAGTAACGCCTAGTGTGATCCCTCAGTATAATGCCTTAGTAACGCCTAGTGTGATCCCTCAGTATAATGCCTCAGTAACGCCTAGTGTGATCCCTCAGTATAATGCCTCAGTAACACCTAGTGTGATCCCTCAGTATAATGCCTTAGTAACACCTAGTGTGATCCCTCAGTATAATGCCTCAGTAACACCTAGTGTGATCCCTCAGTATAATGCCTTAGTAACACCTAGTGTGATCCCTCAGTATAATGCCTCAGTAACACCTAGTGTGATCCCTCAGTATAATGCCTCAGTAACACCTAGTGTGATCCCTCAGTATAATGCCTCAGTAACACCTAGTGTGATCCCTCAGTATAATGCCTTAGTAACGCCTAGTGTGATCCCTCAGTATAATGCCTTAGTAACACCTAGTGTGATCCCTCAGTATAATGCCTCAGTAACACCTAGTGTGATCCCTCAGTATAATGCCTCAGTAACACCTAGTGTGATCCCTCAGTATAATCTTCAGTACACAGTGTAAACTCACACGCTATAAGACCTCATTTACACACAAATTAAATAAATATATTTAATGTATGAAGACTTCAATAAAATATAACCATAACTGTTTATATTGTCCTGCCTCGCCACAAGATGTTACCATGGTAACAACTGTGTTACGAGTCTCACAATGGTACATTTGGAGGCTCCGAGATATTAGGTTAAGTCAGGTAATATTTGTCAGAAAACAGGACAAGTGTTTCCTAATGTGGGTCTTTGTCAGGTGACCCACAGCTGGAGCTTTTGGTCATCTGACAGAGGCCTTCCACTGGCTATTTTTTTTTTTTATTCACCGGTATTCTCCCGGCCCGGGTCTTTTCCAAGTAGTGGTGACCCGGCCTTGGCTCCCTATCTGGGGAGTGTCTCGAGACTTAAGTCTACCATGGGAGGAGGTACAAGTACCCCCTCATCTTTGGGACCAACTGTCCCCAGGCTTAGCCACATTCCCCGCCCTCACGGGGCTCGTGGGGAGAAGCTGGGCCCTTGGTCTGCCATCTGCCCCCCCCCAAAAGGGGGGCTCGTGGGGGGCAGTCTTGTGAGCTGCGGTGGTGCAAGCTCGGCCTCTTGTGACTCCATGGCTACAAAAAAAATTTTACTGGGATACCTGCATAACAAAAATATGCAAAAAATATTATATGAAAAATAAAAAATTTAAAAATGATTTAAAAATGTACAAAAGTCACAAAAAGTATTTTTTTTTTTCTAAAAAAACCAAAAAAAAATAAAGTGGGATTTGCATTCACGAAATTTTTTATATAAACTCAAACATGTCTGAAAAAACTGACAAAATAAACAAAAATGTGTATACAAACATATAAATCAGCTATATTTTACACATCAGATTCGTTGTTCTGGGGGTATATTTCTTTTGATTGTGGGTGTATAATACACCCCAACCCTGTCACCTAGAGAAGTGGTCCCCCGGTGTTAGTCGAGGTGGGGGGTCGCATCTGGGGGGAAAAAATTTAACCCAAGTTGGGAAAAATTGCCTGCATAAACACAGGGCTTTCTATATGTATGTCAGTGTTGCGGGGTTGTATAAGTTGTGTCATGTAGAAAAAAAGTTATTATTATTATTATTTTTTTTATTTTTATTTATTATTTTTATTTTTTTTTTAACCTGTCCATAGTTGGGTTAAAA